AGCCCCCTCATCCCCCTCAGCCCATCCATACCCAACCCCATGGCACTTGCTCAGCTCCCCTCCCATCCGTACCCAGCCCCACGGCTCCCACTCAAACCCCCCAGCCCATCCTGCCATCCCACTGAACTCCACCTCCTGTTCAGCCCCCACCTCTCCCCTCCCCCACTCTCAGTCCCAAACTCGGGGTGCCTGGTCCCAACCCCTCACCTCCCGCTCCTCCGCCAGGCTGCCGGTGCCCCGAGGGGCAGCTGCTGCAGGACGGCGTGTGCGTGCCAGTGCTGGCCTGCCGCTGCGGGCTGCCCATAGCCAACGGCACGCGGGAGCTCTGGCCGGGGCAGGCGGCCGAGCTGGACTGTCACAACTGGTAAGGAGCGTGCGGGAGGGGGGAGGGTAAGCGCTGAGTGCGGCCGAACGGGGGCCCCGGATCCTTCCCCCGAGCTCCGGAGGGGCTGGCCGGCGCCTCGCTCTGGGAGGGGACCCTGGCCGGGGGAACGGGGAACGTGGCCCAAAGGGAGCCGCGCAGTCCCGGAGCTCAGTGTGTGCGTCTCCTGGAGACACCAGCAAGGGAAGTCTAATCCCAGCCCGCGGCAAATGGGTGTCCAGAGCCAGGCTGGGCCCGGCGACCCGGGGGTGTCGATGCGGGAGGTGCGGCGCTAGGGCCTGAGGACCCACTGTCACGCGGGCAGTGCCCGTTACGTGGGAGCAGAGCGGCACAGCGCAGGCTTCGTGGGGGGCCCTCGCGCTGGCAGGGGGTTACCTGTGGAGTTCCTCGGGCAGTGCCCGTAGTCGATGGGGTTGGCAGTGACCGTGGCACCCAGCGGGAGTGGGCTGCGGGCACGGGAGGGCGCAGAGCTGGGAGCGGTGGCGCTGCAGAGGATGGGAACAGTCCAGGAAGCCCGAGGGCCGGCGCGTAGGAGCAATGCGAGGAATGTCTGCCCCGAGCTGGGGGCCTGGCAGCCGGCAGTGCCAGGGGAGAGCTGGGCGGGTGCCTGTCGCCAGCGGGGTGGGGGCTGTGCGCTGCCGGGCACTTGCTGAGGGGCTGAGCCCGGCCATTGGGCAGGGGTAGATTGTGGTTGTGAGTGCGTGTCTGTGCCCCCCCCGAGCCGTGTCTCTGCCTGCAGCA